CCGCAGGTGCGAGGATCACGGTCGGCGTCGGATGCTCGGTGTTTCTGAAACACTCGTCCTCGAGTCTTTCCAGGAGAATCCTCTCGTGTAGAGCGTGCTGATCGATGAACAGCAAAGTTGTTGCGCTTGGATCCTTGGCCAGCGCGAGGAAACTCCGGTCGAATTGTCCGATGAGCCTTGCTCTGCGCACATCGTCGATAGTGATTTCCTCGTAACGGTTCAGACGAGTGTTCTGCGATAGATCCGCCAAGATTCGCGGGATCGGGGGCGCTCTGTCCACCGTTTCGAAGCAACTCGAAATGCGTTCCCTGTTGGCCTGTCGCTCACTGTATTGTAGTTCCACGAACTGCTGTTTCGTTGCACGTCGATGGTCGGTGATGACCACGGGGAGATGCAGAGACTCGGTCTCTGTGCGCACTATCGCGTCGGCAACGGACGACCGGCCTTCGAGAGGGAAACGGAATTCACCTGGGAAGCCATCGGTCGTTTCATTTCCGACTTTGGTCTCGAATGCGGCACTCGACCGACCCCAAGCGACGAAAGACGATTGTGTCGTCGGTAGTGCTCGCTCGCTGCCCGGCTCCATTCCGTTGGTTGACCAACCATCGAGAAATTCTCCGGATTCGAAATCCGGATGCCTACTCGAGCGAACCTGTTTCTCACTGTGCTCAGGCAACGCGAGGTCTACGAGATTGCTCAGCTTCGGCCTCGAATCAGCGCGATTCCGGGGGCTCGGGTCATAGACAGGGTTGCCTAAGTTTCGTATGATTGACGGGCTCAAACTCCTATGGCGGTTCGTTTCCCTTCTGTGGGTTCCTTCGGTTGGGAAGGGACGCCTCAAGAAGGAAAAGAGCGGAATCGCGAGCGAGGTTTTCTTCAACTCGAAACTATACTTGCAATCTGTGAGGAACGCTGCCATCATGGTTTTCTTAGCGGTCATCGAGATCGGCAACGACTGCACTGATGAGGGCGATCGCGGTTTAGGACTCGCCGATGGCGGTAACGAGTGCGAAATGATGAATGGTACACGCCGGGGTCCTTCGGGAGCGCAGTTTGTGTCGTCGACGCCGCCGCCGTGGTTTTCTCTCCGGTGAAGGTCGTCTCCGTCATCAGTCGGCGAGCGCCCCCGATCCCCCCATTCGGCGCATTGTTTCTTCATGACATCAAAGCGTTCCAACATGTTTCTCGCATCAAAGAAAGGTAGAGGGGGTCCGACTTCAGACCTTTCGACGAGTTCTCTAACTTCTTCAGCGAATGTGTTGTGTCCTCCCGGTTGTCCTTCCGGCGATCCAGCCGGCTGTTCTTCTGAAAATGAGTTTCCAGCGCTTCGCTCTAGGCATTCCAAGGGAGTAGAAGGAAACTCCAAGTTTCCCGGGTATCCTGGAAGTGAAGTCCCATATAGATTCAGGAGATCGGGATATGTTCCCCTTCCGACCGGATCTTCGATACACAAAAAGGAGAATTTCGGCAGGAAAAATTACCTCCGTCGAACTCATCATTGGTTACGTCACTGTAGGGTACAAGATATGATTGCGATTCCCGACTCCCGTTTCCCTCGGGCACGAACTCGGCATTTTCCCCAGGCGGGAGAATTCCAGCTGGACTGTGACTGGGCGCCTCGACTGGACCTGAGGCTTCCTGGACGGCAAAACCGCAAGTGTCCGCGAGCGCGTTCACCCCGTAAACGCCGGCGCAGGTGGACTGCGGGTGATTGCATTGAATAGTAATCCCGGAGGTATTTTCCACGATCCTTGGCACCGCTGGTATGCCGCACACGTTCAATGTCAAGTTGATTCCGCCTGGGAGGGTTGCCATTTGGCTGCTTGCGGGCGGTTCAAAACGACCGGGGGTCATGCTCGTACTGCACGCTGAAACGAATTATTCACTAGCGGAAGTCAAAGGCTTCGATCAGGGGGATCCGCTAGCCGAGAAAAATTCTCGTGGCGAGTATTTCGGAGGTGTAGACAAAGTCTCCGGGCGGTGGAGAGACAGCGGAGCATAATGCGGAAGCCACTCACAGACGGTTTTCTTCGCACTGATCCCACGGTCGGTCCACGCTTCGGCTCGCTCGCCGCTCCTCGAGCTTCGTTCGCTACGGTAGGAATTTTTCCGCATTGCTCTGGACGCAGATTCACAGTGCCGACGATCCGGTGGATGTTCTTCCTCCGATTCGGGGTACTCTCGATGCCATTTGGAGCTTCTATGTGAAGCTTTCTTCTCTACCCTATGTTCTCGTCGCTTATCACCTAGAGCCAATGTTCCATGAATGCCAAAATCAACTCAAATGACTAGGAATCACATTGTTTTCGTCCGTCGGCACTGAATCGGAACCTTGAGACGAAATTCTGAGTCCTTGAACTACCTCCCTGTAGACCTCACCGCTGTCCTGGATGTTCGGGTCATCCTTGGCTTGCCTCCCCTCTCTCCTTCGGTCTCTCGAACGATCCCCTTCTCTACGGGGTGGTTCGCGACGTTTCGCCTGTTCGGAGGTGAATCGATTCATTATCAGCTCGTGAGCTGCCTCCCGCCGACGGTATTCATCCCCATAGAGAATGAACTCAGATTTTGCTTATGAACTCTACAAGGAAGGCGAAAGCAATTTCGAGAGGTTCGAAGGAGGGTCCCTCATTTAGCGACGCATATTTCCGAAGCGAGATTTCATCTTGGAGATGAGCCGGCATGTGCGTCGTGACTCACACAGCAGCCGCTATACTTTCGCCGCATTCAGAACGAAGCCGGATATCGATGTCAAATGATTACCATGGAAGACTCCGATGATCTTGTCTCCGATGCTGATCTGATAACGGGCTGCCTCGGCAATATGTCCTCGACAGCTCTTCTTCTCGAGTTGCGAACGACTCGTTTTATGAGAATAGATCCGTTCCGATTGTCGTCGAAATCAACTTGGAGCCTCGGTTTCTCTCGATTTCGGTCTCGAGAGAAGCTCATCAGATGATCTCAACTGGAAGCATCTCCGCGTTATCACGATAGAGAAAATAGCGATCATCTCGTCACGCTCAATCTCATGGAGTCTGGAATGGCCTTAATTGCTGACCCTCGCCGTCACATGACGTTCCCCGGGTAATCTTCGCGTCCCGCGTTTTCTAGAATATTCTTAGCCTGAGATACTATTCGTCTCCCGAATGTAGCGAGTCGTCAGCCAGAGGACCCCACGCGCCTGCAACGATATTCGAAGCCAAGGCTTCTACTTCCAACTGAAGCGTCTGCGGAGAGTGCAACGGATGAAGAACTCCAGAGAGGGCACGGGCCCGAGTTGCTATGAGTGACTAGCGAACCGCGTAACCTAATGAGTTGATACCGATCGCTGACCAAGAGTGCCAGATCGGGGAACGTCGCGTCGCTAAGATAGAGAAAGACTCTCGTAGAAGAGATCAAGCAGAAGAAAAAACGAATCGCCCAATGTAAAAAGCGAGTCTAACGAGACGGACGCTGCTCTGTGCCTCACTAGATTGGTGATTGATATGGAAAACATCAAAGGGAGGAATTAATACGCTTAACAAGAGAGGTTTTTATTTCCGCTGACTGAGGACCGCTACGATTCTGCTGAATCGACCTCATTGCGTGAGACTGCTGTACGTGGTCCGAGAGTCAAAGAGGGAACTAGTCTGATGGGATCGACACGGCAAGCTTAGAGAAAATATTCCCACAACCAATCTAGATCACCAGCACCCCTGGCGAGAGGCGGGGCGGCCCTCATGAAGAGGGACAAATAGCTCTGACGGACGAAACAGACTCCAGACCGACACCCCCTCCCCTCGGCCGTCTCTCAGAGAGTGGTCATCCAAATAAAGTCTCTCCTTCAACTCACTCTTCGAAGGTATCCTAGACACCCGGAATGCCCCGGGCTTCATTGTAGAACGCTTCAGAGAAAACAGAACTCAAGATCAGATGGATCCACCGAATACATCTGCCATCTGAAACTGCGGATGTTCGATATCAGTTTGAGTTTCGCTGGCGGTAGCCACAAGCCTCGGCTTGAGTCATCGAACGATCGCGCTCAACGAGAGGACATTCCGAACTGGAGTTTCGACTTCCCCAATCTTATGTCTTCTCAATCGCTGGCGACGTTGCTCATTCGAAATTCTCCGTCAGCCGTTTAACATGAAAGCCGGTGCCGGCAGATTATTCGAGCACATCCGTCAACGTCGATGCTTCCCTCCCGAGACCCTGCGTATTTGCTTAGAAAGTTATAGGTCCTTACGCTCGAGAATCTAGGAGCCGCATGCGTTCCCGACGGGATCGAGGTCATTAAAGCGTAAGCCGACATACTGCCTGACATTTGCGCATCGTCGATTCCGGTCCCAAAGAAATGACGTAATTAGAGGCATTCAACGCAAGTGTTCATTTATTCATTCATCGTGGGCTGGCACTGAAGCGAGCAGCGCGCAGTTTCAGCAGAAAGAGGAATTTTTCTTCTCTAATCAGTTGGGCTGGCAGCAACACGCATCGAGTTGAAGGCCGGCTTATAAAGTTCCGACTCGTCCGCATATCGAGTCTAATCCACTTGATTCGGGCCTTAGAAGCGCTTCTGCGCCCTACGACCACCTTACCGGCGAAATAGCGATCCGCCAGCAGTAAGACGATATTCCCGAAAGAGCTCCACTTTCTGAGGGTAGCAGACATCGAGAAAGAAAGCAGAGGCTTTGCGAACAAGGCCTCCTTCATTCGATGATAATCTGAATCCAGCGGTCGGGCTCAACTTCATGAAGCATGAGTCGATCCAGAGGCAGATAACTTACCGCGTTAGCGACCCCGCGCTGCAAATCTGATCGGGCTCTTGAGTGAAGAGACATTTCTAATGGATTTTTCTCAGAGAAATCAGAGAAAACCACGGAGTTCTGAATGAGCCCTCTCCGCATCAGAGAGGCTCTCTCTACGGACTCTTCTCGGAATCGTCCTGGATCAGAGCGAAATAATCTGATTCGGGCTCAGGCGCGGGGCATCGACGGGTTGCGACTCCCAGTGATGAATACGTCTCGGTGTTTTAGACTTGAATAAATATTCCGTTTTATTTCATCGGCTCTTCTGCAATCCACGTCTAATTACAAACAGGGTCTTCTGTTGGAATTCACATACTTTGCCGAAGTCGTTCGCCGCGGCTCGACCTTGTACGAATACATTAAAAACAGATCTTTAATTCCCTACGCTCGAAAGAAAAATTGTCTCTAGTAAACTCGGATTGCTGGTGGAACTGTCTTGCATTCGGTTTGATCCAAGGTCGCATCGATTACAGGTCGGAACTTTAACGTGACTTTGCCCGTGTTCACGTCGATGTACGAGAGAGTATGCTTCCGCCAGTGTTGTTCCATTGGAATAGGCTTCTGGCCCTCGACGGGCTTGCTATAGTCGATTTCGTCAACTCGGACCTGAAACAGTTCAATAATAATTTTCCAGTCGACTCGGATCCGATCGGATCCCGATGGCGGGCGAATTCAAATAGATCGCGTAGACAATGTATCCTTTGGTGGATTTGGAATCGCCGCCCGGTTCTTCCTCGGAAACGAATTCAAAACGTAAGGGGTCTCACCTTGAAATCCTCTCGAGCGTGAGCGCCTCGAGACTCCTTCCGGGCCTCCGCACCGACGATGGTCTGCTGCGCGCAAATCATCAAATTTTGGAGCTCCAGAGCCTCGACCAGATCGCTGTTCCATATGAGACCCTTATCATGGATTTTCATGTCTTTCATCTGTCCGTAGATCGAGCTCATCTTCTTACATCCCTCCTGCAGGGATTCTCCCGATCTGAACACAGCGGCATCCGTTTGCATGGTCTTCTGCATGGTCAGCCGCAGGTCGGCGACGTTGATGCTGCCCTCGTTGTGGCGAACTTTATCGATGTTGTCGATGGACATTTCACCGTCGTTATCCTTGAGAGGCAGTACCTTCTGACCGGGCTTCGTCGTTTCAGCGATCGTTTTAGCGCAAGCTCTTCCGAACACGACGATGTCGAGGAGCGAGTTCGCCCCAAGACGATTCGCTCCATGGACCGAGGCGCAAGCGGCTTCTCCGGCGGCATAGAGCCCCGGAACGACCTTGTCCTCTCCGGTGGACGTGATATCGATGACTTGACCCTTGAAATTCGTCGGGATTCCACCCATGTTGTAATGGACTGTCGGCAGGACTGGGATTGGTTCCTTTGTGACGTCGACTCCGGCGAACACCATAGCCGTCTCCGAGATACCGGGCAGACGCGTCGCCAGCTGCTCTGGGGGCAGGTGGTGCAACTGAAGGTAGACGTGGTCTTTCTCGGGACCGACACCTCGTCCCTCACGGATTTCGATTGTCATCGCACGGGACACGATGTCCCGAGACGCCAGATCCTTCGCCACTGGTGCGTAGCGTTCCATGAAACGCTCTCCTTCGGAATTGATGAGGATTCCACCTTCCCCTCGACAACCTTCTGTGATAAGACAACCGGCCCCGTAAATTCCGGTCGGATGGAACTGCACGAACTCGTGATCCTCACAGGGGAGACCGACTCGGCTAGCCATCGCGTTTCCGTCTCCCGTGCACGTGTGAGCGGAAGTGCACGAGAAGTAGGCCCTGCAATTTGGGACAGTGAGCGAAACGGTCAGCCGATGGACCGGCGGTCGGAGACGCGCAGCTACGGGAGGTAGGAATTGAGAGAAATCGGCTCACCTTCCATATCCGCCAGTGGCGAGTACTGTGTTATTTGCATTGAATCGGTGAATGGTGCCATCCTCGAGGCACAGCGCCGTCACGCCTTTACAGATTCCGTTATCCATGATCAAGTCCAAAGCGAAATACTCGATGAAGAATTTACAATCAAACGCCAAGGACCGTCCGTACAGGGTGTGGAGCAGCGAGTGACCTGTATAAGGGAGGAGGTCAGAATAGGAAGAATTGGAATAGAAAGAGAAAACAAACGAGCATACATAGAATCGAGGAATGTCTCCGCATCCTGGAAGAGTCCCTCGCTAATCGGGGCTCCGGTTCTATGCAGGTACTCGATTCCGAAACCCACGACCGGGAACGTGACCATATCGCGAGGAGCGCGTGATCGGCTAACTCACCGGTTCTATCGGCCACGGCGCAGCACCTGTGAGCTTGTCCACCCTTTCCGAAGTTATAGCTTTGCCCACCGAAAGCTCTCTGGTAGATCTTGCCTTCGGTCGTTCGGCTGAACGGCATCCCGTAGTTCTCGAGCTCAATCACAGCTTTCGGCGCTTCCTGTAAATATTTTCATTCATTCTCTGCAGGCTATGCTTGATGATTGTCACTGCGAAATTCAAGCACGGTAGTCAAGTCATCCTGCCCGATGTTCCGTCATCGGCGCAACATGACATGAAAAAAAAAAGTTCTGCAGTCTATTTCCTCGAAGCAACTGTCTCCGCTGCCGCTTTCTTAACAGACCGGAGGACTGACGGAATCTTGGATTTTTGTAATAGAGACGCGGCTCTACTGCGAAAGCCACACGCTCCCGCCAGGAAACGACGCTCCTTACCTTTGTCATATAGTGGATGGCGTCCTGATCGCCGAGCCAGTCGGAACCTTTCACGGTATCGTACATGTGCCACTGCCATTCGTCAGGCTCCATGTTACCCAACGCAGCATTGATTCCACCTTGAGCTGCCACGGTGTGAGACCTGAAAATTTATGGATACTGCACTGTTGCGCTCTATGAATCTCAGCTTCATTCAATCTATAAGATGCAACGAAGTGCATACATCTCGCAGTCTTGGTCTGATAAGCGCCAGTGCAACCGAAATTTCTCGAAATCCATCAGCCTAACTACCGGCTCGGTGTGGCGTGTGACACCAAATACAACCGATGGATCGGATCTCGCCAGATAGGGTCTCCCTCCGCAGATTGTCGCATCCAAATATCTCTTACGCCTGAGCGGCTTCAGAAATGCACGTACTGTTGAACGCGGAAAGCCACCGAGTGTCCTAACCACGGGGAAAATGGGAATCTTACGTACCTTGTCGGAAAAAGCTTGGTGATGCACGCTGTTTTAAATCCTTCCTCAACAAGTCCGAAAGCAGCTCGGAGTCCGGCTCCTCCCGCGCCGACGACGATGGCATCGAATTCATGATCGACAACCTGAAAAACGGACGATAGTCAAGGACAATTTCGCTGTGGTCGCGTATCCAGATAATCGATATAGGGCTCTCATCTTACACACTCGATCGTGAACTCCTATGCGAGAAAAAACTGTTCACCGGAAGCATGCCGCAGGCAGGCGAGCTGGTATGAAAGGATTCCGACCCATTCATGGAGTCGGAAACCCTCCGCAAACGTTGCGCTTCCAACCCTCACTCCCCTGGTGCATTCCTAAATACCGTTACTTCTGCGCAATTCGTAATATGCCGCTCGGGGTCGGGGTTCCGGCTTCCGGACCCCGCTCTTGGAGGGGATCGGAGCCCCGTAAAGATAATCTCGCGTCGAATCGCGAATGAGCGCGGCGAAAATTCCCGAAGTGCAGAGAGCGCCAAATCCATCCAGACTCCCACCCCAGAGACAGCGGAGTTTCGCTAATCTACCCGCCAGACTCACCTTATATCCCTTCCAATCAGCCTTTCCGCTGACAGCAGAAGTTGCCGAAAAGTTGCGCGAAAGCAGCTGGGCTCTCTGACTGCCGAACCTCAGTGCCCTCAACAAGGTCGTCATCCTGTCGCTTCAATCTCGAGTCGGTCTGGAAATGTCGCGAAAGTTTGCGTTCACTCGCGAGATAAATGCCCGAAACCAACTCTATAGAAGTCCGTGGGAGATGCCCATGACCGCACCAACGAATTCGATGAAAATACGGATCGAGCTTGAACGAACGGGAAAGCTATCGCAACTCACACAGCTTGCACGGCCCAGCCGACTCTCGACTCGCACCAAAACAACATCATTGCCTGCCTGGCAGAGAACAGCGACAGCGACTCCGCTGCGTGAGTCGCCCGCGACTTTTCAAAAATGTCAACACCGCAGCCGCCACATTCTTGGGGTCATTCCTTGCGCGAATCAGCTTCGAATCGAGCATCGAGGATTGATGAAGTCCGGTTTCAGATGTCTTCCCGACTTTCCGGAGCGTTCCGCCGACAGGGTGACGGCCAGATGGGACTTGGAGTCAATTGCTGATAACGTCAAGTAGAGAGAGCGTAAACAAGTTGTCTCGTGATTGACACTCCACCGCCAGCTGCCTTTAAGCGGATAATGAGCTCCCGCTGAGGACAGGACACTTATCAGCTGAATCGATTTTTAAAAGCCCATTGAGCGACAGCTGACTCGTTCAAGACCGGAGCGATGTCGGGTGTTGGTTGTCGAAGATGATTCGAGCCAATTTCCCGCAGAAGTCTTGCGGAATCAGGCCAAAGGGCTTGGGGGAGAAGACTATGCGATTGGAGTCAGAAATTCGGGTTCCACAACCCGGTTCGCATCGATTGCGGAATTTTTCCCATTGCGATAGAGACGGGAACGTCAGGAATTGACGCAATCGATCGTCTCGACCCTCTCATGCTGGGAACCGACAGAGATAGACCCAACTGATATTCATCCTCTCAGATCCTGTCCGAACGCCCGTGGTCCTCCTGGAGCGCTTAAGTCCTGTTTTGTTTAGTGCCTGCCATGAAAAGTGTCCTCAAGGTCCTACGTGGAAGTGATGACGCATTCCCGCTTGTTATTGGCACTTTATTCTGCGTTCAACCACCTCATAGCTTTATTTTCTCATTATTCTGTTTCTCATACCATTCATACACTCCGCTCCGTTTTTTTTATAAATGCCTCATCTATCGAAAAAGTTTCAGGCGACAGCAAAAATTGTCTCTGGAAAAATTGCTCCTCGCAATCTTCTGCTTCATCGGTTGAATTGTGGCTGTGTGTCTCATTGGTGAGTTTGATTGGTGTTGATGCGACCAGCACGTCCGTCAAATACCTAGAGCAGGATTACACGTTCCGTACGTTTGCATGTCGGTTCGAGGCTTGACTTCCCTCTTATCTATAAGACATTCATCAGGTTTCAACAAAAAGGAAATCTTTCGAGAGGAGGAACGAATAAAAAAACAGAACACTTTCTCGCAGGGAGGGGGAAAGGTTTCCCACGCTTCCGCTTCCATGAACTACGATCCTAGTCGAAGGGAGAAATAAAACGTAGTAGGTTCTTGCACCAGGCTGCCCTAATGGTCCTCTAGTAGTCGGAGCTTTCTCTCCCGAAAGAAAGAATCGAGACAGTTGAGTCCGTTCCTCTGTGTCGATGAATAGACGCAATCGGGTCGAGGTAGCAGCTCTGCCAGTTGGGTTTTGGAAGCCATTCTTCTTAAGGTACGTTCAGGAAGCCCCTGCCCTTTGTGGGAGAGCGTCCGATGGCTGAAGTTTTCGCTTTGAGAACTCATTCATTCGTACCACGAGTTTCGGCGCGTTCTCCCTAAATGGGTCTGGTGAAGTTGGCTGGGAAAAGACCTTTCTCACCCGTGGTCTCCTTGACTCCCATGAGCCAGCCCTCTTCCTGCAACGGGACGGAAAACCAAGAATAATTGACCCGAATGGATTCGATTTTCATTTTATGTCAGGGATGAACGGAGAAATCCGTTCACTCTGGTGAATCTCATTGGAACTTACTTGCTCTTCCGGATCGTCATACTCGATAACGCGGATTATTTCTCCGCTCTCGAAGTTGAGTTCGTCTACGTCCTCTGCTGTGTACTTGTACGTCGCGCGTACCTATAGGCAAAGAAAGGAGAAAACGGTTCGAAATTTCGGAAGTTGATGAGGACGCTCTCCGAGAAACTATCGGTAGATCCTCCGGGACAGAGACCGAATCTGCGAAGACTCAGACCCGGAAGGGAATCATGATTGGAACGTACCTTGTAGAGAGTTCCCGGAGGCAGGTCGGTAGTCGTAGCCCCTGCAGGAATATCGTACACCCCTTGATCAGGTTGCGGAGGTCGCTGGCCGTTCATACCCAGCGAGGATTTCGCCGGGCTCGAGGCCGAACTAGTTCCGCCTAAAAAACGTGCAACGTAAAGTAGGAATGAGTACGACTATGGACGACATGCCGTTTTAGTGGAACGGGTGTCTACTACATGTAAGAGCAGCATGCCAACGTCTCCGGCATCGCCAACATCGCGGGTACACGAATCACACAAGTCGGGCGTGATGACGCAGCCGAAAGATCGACCGAACGAATCTCTGAATCGATCCACGTTTCCCGCGAAGAACCGATCTAGAGATCGACGGATCGATCCGTCGATGAATCCGTGAGTCATTCCGCTACTGAGGGAGTCAGTGGGATAAGCAGTATGCTCTGTGCACACCTTTGGGGTCGCTGTCCTGGTCGGCTTGAGCTCCGAGCATCGGCAGAATGTCGGGCGAGCCGGCGACTTGTTTATTGTCGTCGTCATTCGGAAGAAGCTTGAACTCGGTATACTTGGCTTTAAGTTTCGTCACTTGATTAAACCATATGCACATGTTGGCGTTCCGGTCCATCATGCCGGGTACAATACTTTCGATCGGATTCCGCACCGTGCATTTCAAACACATCCACGGATGCCGTTTGAACGCCTCCTGCTCACGTTCGGAAAGCCAAATACACTTCATTTTCGTGTCCAGGCCACACCCTATGCACGTGGGCATGGGCATGAGTTCTTTCCGGGCCTCGCTCGCCGTCGGAGTCGCGAGATCCAGGGCAACGAGGTCCTTGCATTCGTCGAGCTTCGCAACTGATTCGTTTTCGGGCCGGAGAATTTTCCAGAGCTCGCTCTCGGTCTGAGTCTGACTCGACAGCGTGGATACTGTGCTCGTTTCCAGCACCTCGTTCGTGACGAGTATTAGCTGCGATTTCGTGTCGTCGGGAATGTGCAGGGCTTGAACTCTCTGACTGAGCTCTTGATTGAAAACATCGCGTCGTATTGTCGTCGACGTCGTCGTTGTCGTCTGTGTTATCGTCGTCGTGGCTCCGACTCCACGCGGAGTCTGGGTCGGCGTGTTCGAAATTTCGTTTTGATTGCTTGCCAGACGTTTCCGCTGCTTGATCGGCAAGGGGGGCGGTTCGAGTGTGTCTGGGTGGCGAGAGTTTTGTTCGTCAAACCTACCAGAAGCAACGCTCGCACATAATCAGGCAGTCCACGAGCGGAAATTTCGTTTAGGCACTTCGAAACTACAAGCCATGGGATAAGGACGGGGTTCCGCTAACGAGTTGATGCAACAGCTACACGATGCCACAAAGAGGCTTCCGGAGTCGTCAGTAATTGAAGCGTCTCGAGACGATTTCAGAGCGGTCGATCACGATTATTATCCATCGACGCGAGTTCGTTAGTCACAGCTACGGACATTGAGGTAGACTGGGGGACGTACCGTTCGTAGCAGCCACGCTGCTGTGGGGTTCCTTCTTGAAGTCGATTTCCTCGTATGGGCGGACTTCTCCGCCGGTACTGAAAAAAAAAACACAAGCCTCAGCAGAAGTCGAGCATACGGATACTTTCGGGTAGGGCATTGAGAATGAAATTTTCCCCGATTTGATGTTTTCCCCGTTTCGGATGTTCCTTGATCGGGGTCGGATTGCAATCAGGATGGATTCTTGAAAGCAATCATAGTGACCTGGAAGGCGCTCCAACAGAATTCCTGGGCGGGGGGACGCTTCGGTTATTCGCCGTCGGCTGATTGCTCGGCATTGCGGGGAACATCGGAGCCGTCGTGGGAACCGGATTGAGTTGGGGAGCCTGAATCATCGGTCCACTGATGGGATGTCCGGAGTCCCTAGCTAACTTGTGCATTGTTTCGTTGAGAAACTGGTATACGACAGCGTTCTCCC